CGAAGTCCTGGCTGCTAACATATGCAGTGCCGGATCGAGAAATGGCGTAGAGCCGTGTTGGCCGAGGGAGAGAAGCCAATCACATTGCGCACATTGTGAACCTGTCTCCAAGAAACTCCCCCCGCCCCCGCCCAGTCGAGGATGAGTAATCACCGGTGTAGCAAACATGCAGCTCCTGTATTTCAAAACAAAGTGTGGAATACTTCAAGTCAGATGAAACGATTGCTTGAAAAATTTTCCAGCCAATCAGAATATAGTACTCAAACGCCCCCCACCTCAATTCAATGCCCCCCCCCCCTCACAACTTTGAATTCAATTTGAAAAGTACTTTAACATCGTCAGAAAACAAAGTAACAATTATGAACAGATTTGTTTTCATAATTACATCACAACATCACTCATTTAGACACAATGACACCTATAACAACTTTAAAAAATAGAAACTTCAAAGGTGTGCCGGGGGAAGGAGGGTGTGAGTGGTGGGGGTAGTGGAAAAGAGCCAAATAAGAGAGTAATTTAGTCATTGGAATCTTAAATATAAATTGAGTTTATCTGAAATCTAAGCTTAGCGTTTTTCAACTTGTTCAAGATGCCCTGATGAACGAAAAAGAAGTTATGACGAATAGGTTTGAAAAAAAGTTGCATCGATTATAATCGTTGTGACTTAATTTGTTTGTCACAGGTTCTGAATTGATGCAACTTCAACCTTTTTTCAAACTTGTTTGTCACTACACAGTTTTCAAACTTGTTTGTCGTATCTTTCTGAAAAAGTCATGTTTGAAGATATTTAGAGACATTTTAGAAAATTGAATGTAGTTCTTAATCAGTTATTCTTTTCTGTGAACAACAGCACTCACCTTGTCGAGGTCTACTCTACATATGTAGAGTCTGTGGTTGAAGTGGTCACAGAGGATCGAACCTAGTTGCGCCTCGTCCAGAGTTCGCTTCGACCCACAGATCTCTGGAAACGTTATTACAAAAATTACCAAAACATTATATGACGTATGATTTCTGAAGTAAAGTTTAAGATTTTTTTCGAGGTAATTAATTTCAACCAATCAGGATCCAAAATATCAGAAAGATGAACTGTGGGCCGTATAAGAGAAAATACCCATGTGAAGGAATCACTATGGCCACAAAGCAATGCACATGTAACTATTGACCAACCAGTTTTGAAATTGGAAACTTGCAGTTTTGTGAAAACACAATATGACTTCGAAGTAGGTTGCCTCTTTAAAATGACTTTTGATGTTCACAACTGCAAAAACTGTGTCACTTTTACAACTTTTCTAATATGCAAATTTCCGTATGAACAATTTATAAGGTAATTTATTTTATAATTTTACGATGGGGAGGTAATTGAGAAAAGGTGAAAACTGATAATGCTGTTATAACCAACTAACAATCAGGAGAATTCTCTTCGTGTGCAAAACAATAATTTACAATTTCAATATTTTGTAAGAAGATTTTTAAGCAGAACTTTTCCTCTGTGAAAAAAGATTTTTACTTCACTTGAGCTTCCGTGAGTTTTTGGATTTTTATACAAAAACTCACCTCGAATGGCTTAAGCCCCATAAACCATAATGTATTTTTTTTAAGTTTTCTTAGCAATATAGTCGCAACATTCTGGGCTACTTTCACTGCCATTGGCTATTCTTATTGTTCAAATTAATGTCTTGTTCATGACAAACTGTGAGTTGACAATTTTTATACTGGGTGTATTAAGCTAGCAAAACTATATACGTCGGACAAAACGCTTGCTAGGAATAAAGGGTCCTTTCTACTTTCTATCTTAGAAAGTAAATCTAAAATTCGCTGAGAAATATTATATTAGAAAAGAAGTTAATATGAATTTACAGCAAGTTGCCTTTTGACTCAATATCTATTTTAAGGGTGAGATTAGAGATATTTTTACTGAGAGTAGATATTATTTTAGAGATTGGTTGGGGGTGGTTGAAGAGAGTGGTGTTGGTGTTAGAAGAGATATTGTTGGGAAAGAATTCCCGTAGTTTTGAGCTTCTATTTATACTCAGATGGGGAAATCACGCCACTTTTCGTATCAAATGAGAAGTTACTTCTTAACTTCGTATTCTCTATTCGTACATTCGTATTTTACGAGAAGAAGGTTTCGTATGCTCGTATTTTACGAGAGGAATCGTTAATATTCGCATTGAATGAGAATAGTCGTTTCAATTCTCAATGCATAAACGTTATACGAACTATTCCAATAGCATTTCCCTTCCTTTTGCAAGGGAATAAAAACATATTTCTTTTGTGGTGGCGGCGGCGTCACATTTTGTGAACGCAATAAAATAATTCATGTTTCTGTTTCTATTTGAAATCAGAACATATCCATCCTCCTATTTGGAGAGGAAAAAAACTGAAACTTTCATTTTTATTACTTTCACTTGAATAGTGGGGTAATTGTTGATCGATCGAAGCTTTTTCTTTCAATCTCATAAAGTTTGTTCAATAGTTTGTTGGTATTACAGGTAGCAGATGTTTTTGAACAACTGATACTTTGAGTCAGGCTTGAATGAATATAAATACATCAGTTACATTTATAAATCAAAATAGAGTTTACACAACCAAGGGATTTAACTATAAAATTAAATACATCAAAATTATTTGTTTCTCAAAAGTTTGAAGGTTAGTTTTATGCCTTGAACATTCTTTTTCCGAAGTCTCTTTTTTTCCTGAAATATGTGAAGTGGATGTCCATACGCGTAATAAGGGGAGGACTGGTTCATACAAAGAGGGTATTTTTTGTTTTTTTGTTTTTTTATAAAAGTCAAAATTGTTGAGAAAGGAAAAAATTAATAGCAATACTACATAGCTATATAAAGCGAAAGAATAAATGTTTAAATGAAAGGATAAATTTTTACAATTTTCCTTCCAACCGGGCTATAAGTTGGTGATTTTTTCTTTTCAAATTGTGGATTTGCTTTTTCAGCTTCCGGATTTGGTGCGTTTCATGTATATGACTGCGCTGAATTTGCTCAGTATAGTCATCTAACTGGGGGGTTTGTAATTTTTCTGTCAGATATTTTGCTGGGACATACATTTTTTGATATTCAAGAAGGGAATTAGTTATGGAATACATTTTTTTATAGGGTGATAGGCTTCTAATTTAAAACGATTGATTAATGGATTCAAAGCATTATTGAGATCCATATCGAAGCCAGGATTGCTGTTAGAATTAATGTATCGTTCCCTTTCTAACTGAATATGTAATTTAGTGTTTAATTCAGTGGGGTGCAAGGGCTGTCGCCTAATGGTCATTGGATATTGAGAAGTTGATACCGGCGTATTTGCCGTTAGTATCTTATATGGTCTTACAATCTGGGTTCGCTTTTTAATTTTGGAATTCGAGGGAACCAGGGGTATTTTGAAATCAGGGGGTGAAATTTTTAGGGGTGGTGGCTTGGATGCTCTAGTTATTGGGACATCTGAATTGGTTTGAAGTAGTTGCTCAACGAAGGATCGTGTTGAGGTCGACTTTGCAGTGGGTGTTGTAGTAGTAGAAACAGTTTTTTGTTGAGTGAGTGCTGAAATCTGCGAGTCCAGTGGATTGGTTGGTGGCAGGAGTGAGAGAAGATCCTCAAAATCTCTCAAGTCGTCATCAAGTGTTGCGTCCATAGTTGAATCAGTTGGTATATCCTAGAACAGTAGAATTTTTTTTATTAGACTGGGTTTGTTGGGTGATCCAAGTTTTGAGTTTTTCTCTCAAAACTTGTTAATTGGATGTGAGGATACATGCGGTCCTGGTTTATTTTATCAATTTCCTCTAAAAGAGGGGCTTGTATTTTTTGATCTCATTCTTGTTCTATTTTTTCAGTTTGCTCATCTTGAGTGAAAATTGAGGTCACTATGGAAGTGAAAAGTATATTATATGAAGCGGCAAGTAATACTTTGCCAAAATGTAGTGAGCGGCCGGTGATTTTGTGAATATGCATAGCCTTTATTATGAATACTAGGCAATCTAGTATGAATTTCACAAATAGAAAAGAGGCGAAGACTATTCCGCATTTTTCTAAATAGTATTGTACTTTCCCGAATATACGGGTGTATTCGTTTTTCCAAAAGTTTGGAGAGATGAGATAGTCCAAATAGATTGTTTGGGAAGAGCCTAGTGGGCTATATGAGTCCGTAAAAAGAAATTTTTTAGCATTTAGAAAGGACCTGGATACTTTTTGCAGTATTCCTTTCATCTCTGAATTATCGGAAATCATATTCCAGAATTTTTGCATTTGAGCATAAGTGTAGAATGAAGCGCCTTGGCTAGAGGCTAACGAATGCTTAATCTTTTGAATTATCTCTTTTGGTTTAAAGAGATATGGTCCTGTAACACTTGTAATTTGAGGGGTTAATTCAATACAGGACTTATCATCATCAACATCTAGTTGAAAGAGATTCGAATGTTTGTCGGAGTAGTCTTGTAGATCTGCCAACTGAAAAGTTTGTCGCGTAATTGGATCAACAAATTGATTTTTTTCTTTTACATAATGGGAATGCGATTATAGCAGTTATCCATTAATTGCAAAGGTGAATAAAATTTCGGACAATGGTAGAGCCAGGCAACATTGCCATTGATCTCTAAGAACATAGAGCGGTTTTTGGTTAGAATAAAGCCAGCCAAACGCGGGCTTTCAAGTGAAAGCATTAAAGTATTTAATATTGAGGAGCGTTCTAGCTCACATTGATTTTGCAGAAGGGCTAACTCGGCCGTTCTGAGCATGTAGAAGCTATAAAAAAGAATATAGTCCAATTTGGTTCCTATATGAGCTTCGTAGTCAATTTGATGAGTTGAAAGTTGGAGTGGCGGCGAATCATCACTTAATGTGAGAAAAATAGAATTTGGTTTGCCGGCATTATGAATAAGTCCCGTTTCTGGGGTTGGTTTAACTTGGATTCCAGTATCCATATTGAAACCGTCAGTGTATGCAATAAAAAGTGAATCATATGAAGTTGGATACACTATTCTGGGATGACCACAAAGAGATTGCGGTTTATTCATCACCTGTAGCATAAATTTTTGAGAATCCCTTGTATGGGTAGAATGAATAGACGGGCTAGAATCGCCTTTAATTATATTGTATGATTCTTCGTTTTGAATCATTTTAGCCGGAAATCTGTTTAAAACAGTGAAAATGCAATTGTTGGGTTCTTCCCAAG